GAGGATGCATGGCTCTCGACCTTCGCCTCTCCCGAGTCCGTACCGGAGTTGCAGCGATAGGACAAGACTGTAACTACATTTTACAATTTAGTCATTTAGCAGACGCTCTTATCCAGAGCGACTTACAGTTACCAATTGGATATCACGAAATTGGGGAGAAAAAGGGGTAAAAAATTAAAATAAAACTTCCATCCTCTCAGGCCAGGGGCAGAATGTATGAATTTATGGTTAGATCAGAATCAATGTTATAATCATTGGCCAGTAAGTCCAAATCCCTATCTCCATCCATGGCTAATTTAGGAAAGGGACGATTTTAGCTAGCTAGCAGCTGGCCTTCTTCCATATGTTTGGGGAGTCTCCCAAATGCCTTTAAACACCAAACGTAGTTTTTTCTTTAAGCAATGGCTTTTTTTCTGGCCACTCTTCCGTAAATCCCAGTTCTGTGGAGTGTACGGCTTAAAGTAGTCCTATGGACAGATACTCCAATCGCTGTGGAGCTTTGCAGCTCCTGCAGGGTTATCTTTGGTCTCTTTGTTGCCTCTCTGATTAATGCCCTCCTTGCCTGGTCCGTGAGTTTTGGTGGGCGGCCCTCTCTTGGCAGGTTTGTTGTGGTGCCATATTCTTTCAATTTTTCAATAATGTTTTTAATGGTGCTCCGTGGGATGTTCCAAGTTTCTGATATGATCTGTACTTCTCCACAACTTTGTCCCTGACCTGTTTGGAGAGCTCCTTGGTCTTCATGGTGCCTTGCTTGCTTGGTGGTTTCCCTTGCTTAGTGGTGTTGCAGACTCTGGGGCCTTTCAGAACAGGTGTATATATACTGAGATCATGTGACACTTAGATTGCACACAGGTGGACTTTATTTAACTAATTATGTGACTTCTGAAGGTAATTGGTTGCACCAGATCTTATTTAGGGGCTTCATAGCAAAGGGGGTGAATACATATGCATGCACCACTTTTCCGTAATTTATTTTTTAGAATGATTTGAAACAAATTATTTTTTTCATTTCACTTCACCAATTTGGACTATTTTGTGTATGTCCATTACATGAAATTCTAATAAAAATCCATTTAAATTACAGGTTGTAATGCAACAAAATAGGAAAAACGCCAAGGGGGATTAATACTTTTGCAAGGCACTGTAAATATATAATTTCACTGTTTACAGCAGCTCTCCAGCTACCCAGAACTGTCTGATCAGCCTGATAGTGTGCCGTGGGTGTGTCCAGCTTACACCTGTGCTAATCTGTGTGTGTATAGTAATGGAATGAAACATCCAACCCATACCTAAAGTGTCGTGCTGTAGGTCCACCACACACCCAAAGCGTTATGGGCTCCTGTCCAGAAACAACCCCTAGCTCCTACCCCTAGACACTTGTGTAGATCTGAGAGGATTGGACAGGTGTAAGCAATACCGCCAACATTTCACAAAGCCTATCAGAGGGTTAGATAGATAGAGCTCTCACCATGTCACCATCCATCAATCCTTCTCAGGTCTCCACAAGTGTCTAGACTCTGGGCAATAATAATAATAATAATTTATTACATTTGTAAAGCGCTTTTCATTATACATGAATTAACTCAAAGTTCATAATAGAAGGAAAAAAGCCCCAACAGTCTGAACAGTCCTGTCAGGAAGGGAGTTCCAAAGGTGTGGTGCGTGGCAGGAAAAGGCACGGTCCCCCATTGTTCAGAGCCGGGTCCTGGGTGCATGAAGCAGTTTGTCATGGCTTGACCGTAGGGTGCGTGGAGGTTCATAGGGGGAGAGTAGATCTGGCAGGTAGGCAGGTCCAATGCCATTTAGGGCTTTGTAGACCAGGAGGAGAATTTTTAAGTAAATTATTTGAGGAACAGGTAGCCAATGGAGGTCAGCAAGGATGTGGATGATGTGGGCAGACTTTTTTGTTTGTGTCAGAATCCTTGAAGCATTGTTTTGAATGAGCTGTAATTTATTAATTGAGTTTGTAGGCAGGCCCCCAAGTACTGCATTCCCATAATCAATTCTGGAGAAACGAATGCATGGATAAGGTTTTCTGCATCAGAAATTGTGAGAGAGGGTCTTAGGCAGGAGATGTTCTTCAGGTGTAATAATAATGTTATACAGACGTGACTAATGTGAGCATTGAAGGAGTGCTGAGTCGAATTTCACACCCAAGTTGGTGATGACTGAGGAGAGAGGGGCATGATGGTAGGGCGGATGATGCAGGAGTTGGTGATCTGCTGAGGGGTGCCTATCAGCATTGCCTATGTCTTTCTGCTGTTGAGTTGTAGGAAGTTGTTCTGCATCCAAGACTTAACCTCTTCCAGACAATTGGACAAGGTTGACAGAGAAGATGTTGAAGGGCTAGGGGTTGTTTCTGGACAGGCCATGGGTATTATGGGAGCTCAGTCAGTCAGTCAGTCTGGCACTGTCTAAAAATGATAATAGCTGTCAAATACTTGCTTCCTTTGTCCTTGGGAGAATCTCAATAGCATTTCCTTGATTCGTTGCGTTCTCTCTCCTCGTCTCCTGCTCAAAACCCATTGGATGAGAAGGTCAGAGGTCCCTCCCCTCTCACCTTCTTATCCAATGGGTTTTTTGAAGGAGGCTAGGAGAGAGAGAGGATGTGAGGAATCAAGGAAATACAATTGAGATTCTCCCCTTGTTTCCTCCATTCCTCACCTCCCTCTCAAAGCACATTGGGGGAGAGGACTGAAGGTTCCTCCTCTCGGGCTCCAATGCACTTTCAAGGAGAGGCAAGGAGTGGAGGAAACAAGGACAGAGGAAGCAAGAATTTGATGGCTAGTTTTCAGACACAGACTCTCTCTCACACACACACACACACACACAATGCTCGAAGAGCTTACTGATTGTAATGATTTCATTATTGGTTATTATTATTATTGTCAAGGTCTCCATTTTTCATTGAAGTCTCCTGCTTAATATTACACCACACACTTTTGCTTTGTTCGTCTGCCGATCGTTCAGCGCGCTGTGTTTTAGGGACCACCTGGCTTCATTTTTACTCGACTCTACATGCGGTTCGCAAATGACGTTCAGAGGTGCTAGGTACTCTCGACCAGCAACCACTACTGCTGTGTCTGAACCCTAACAGTACTTGAGTGAGTGTGAGTGTGTGTGTGTGTGTGTGTGTGTGCACAGGTGTTAAACTTCAGGAACATTGATAAGAGTGAGTAGGCCTACTTAAACATTGGGAGCATTAACAGCTGTGTGTTACAGTAACTTTTTGTGTTATTTATGGATAAAATGCCTTTAAAAACATTCTGATACAGATTATTTAGTGTTTCTTTCCCTTACAATCAAAACATGCTATGCCTATAATTTAATGCACTGCTTTTTAAATGGTAAATGGTTTATTTAGGGCCAAATTTGAGCAAATTCTAAAATTGTGATTAAACGCGATTAACTAATGCCATTAACTTGATTCAATATTTTAATTGTTTGACAGCCCTAGTTAAAATACAAAGTGAAAGTTTTCTTGCCATAGATATCCTAGATATATAAACATCCTGTAACATCATAAGACAGCCTGTAGCTTTTATCTATGTTTTAGAGCCTGTGCTCTCTGTGGTTTCCAAGACTCTGTGTTGGGCCACTTCAAAACCTGAGTGTTGGTCCTTGAGAGTTGCATTGCTGAGGAGAGCCGATCCTTGTGGGGATAGGCTGTTGATTGCAGAGGGCCAATTAAAAGCCAACTGTAGCTTGTCTTAGTGTGGAGCTCAGGCCTGATGTGGCCAGCAGGGGAAGTGAGGGAGAGGAGGAGGGGGAGAGAGACTGTGATTATTCTGTTGTTGTTTGGTGCCAGGGCAAACTATACAGTATTGCTCTTTGTTGCAGGAGACGAGAGGAAAACGCAGTCCAATCTCCAGCTAGATCAGAGGAACACTCGTGGCAAGAGTAGAGAATGCTGTTTACAGATTCAATGAATACAAGATAAAAGTGGGTGTCAGAGAAATAGCGACTTACTTTTAAAGGTCTCCATTTTTCATTGAAGTCTCCTGCTTGATATTGCACCACACACTTTGAATTGAGTTATTTTCTTGATAAGAAATGGCTGTCTTTGAAGATGTATTCAGTTTGATTTCCTGACCTATACTTGCACGTATCAAGGGCTTAATGGAGGACCCGGGAGGGTTTTAGGGGCTACATTTTGTCATAAACACATTTTCTATCAAGCGCAGACTGAACCAACAGTGGTAATGTAAGGGAACGAGGACATAATCTCTTTAACAACACAGGCATTGACAAGAAAGAGTACTCATAAACCATGTGGCGGTTAAACTGTATCGGAACCCTTGTAGCTAGGATTAGGCTTGAAGATTTAAAAAAATGCAACATTTACTTTTACTCTCACACACAAGCGTGCACACACACACACACACACACACACACACACACACACACATGCATGCATATTCACTTTCTAATCAGTTCCTATTTTCTGTTCATTTGACCAATGTGATGTAATTTGTAAACATATAAGACATTGAAGTGGACATCCATTCCCACCAATCAGTTCTCTTTGATTGCCCGGGTTGGGGGTTGAGCCTTGTCATCGTAGCACAAAGCTAAATGAGTGGGCTTCTCTGGTTACATCAGGTGGCCTTGGATTAGCAAATCCAGACACTCATCTCCATCTGATTTTACCTGGACCTGCGCTAGCATTAGCATCTGGGTGACTTTCCCTCACTGTAGTCTCTAGTCTTAGCTGTCATACTGTGTGTCACTGCAGGTGTGTGTATGGATGATTTCTCCTGGGCTTACTACACAGAAGGAGTTATTATTGGAGTTATTATTTTATTGCATTGCAGTAAAAGCAAAAACTCTAATCCCTTAATGCCATACCAATAATTGTCGTTAACTGCTAATTGCTAAAAGTCTCCAAATCTGTTAATTATTATCCTTCAGATATTTTTATCTTTTTTTCCTTCTATCTGATTCCAAACAGGAGTCACAACAAAGAGTTGGGTATTTGTGTATCGGCCCCCTCACAGAATATGCCATCTGTGACTGTGAGGTGGGCCTGCGGTATCCAACGCCTGTTTATCATTGTGCATCTCACTGGCCTGTCCAAGGTCACCCCCTCTTCCCAGAATGGATTGCTCCAGGTACATCAGAGGATAGTCAGTTGGCTGTGGTCCCCCACTTTATCCCCCTCCTCCCCTATAAACACAACACTGTGCTGCTTTCCCACCAGTCTCCAAACAAACGCTCCAGCTCATCTATTTTTTATCTTCTGACAGACGCAATTATTCTTTACACGCCGTGCTCGTTAATCTTAATGCCGTTATTACTATTCATTGCCAGGCATTTTTTTCTTCTGCCTCTTATTTCAATTGAGGATCCTTCCATGCTGGTCGGTCTGCTGACACTCACAGGCCATTGGTCCAATCAGAGCGGCCGACAGCAGAGTTAATGAATGCAAGAGGAGAGCCGGGGAGGGGACAAGGGCAGTAACTCAATATGTGACCTGTTGTATCCAGTTAGCAGTGACATTTGGTGTCAGGTATCAGTTATCCACAATAACCAATCAGTTATTGGAATGGGTGCCGATGATGTGTCAGTTGAATAATGTTAGAAACACATGACACATGTTATGATGCTGTTTTCAATTTCACAATTCATATGAATGTTATAGACAGAGGAAATGCTATACACTGTGTGTGTCACCAATCTCTCTCTCTACTTCCTCTCTCTCTCCCATGCACACACACACACACACACACACATACACATACACATACACATACACTTACACACACATACACACACATACTCATGGGCAGACATACTCACGGGCAGACATACAGACACTAACATACACATCACTGCTCTTTCGGCTGATGTCAACAGAAATCCTCTATACTAATGGCTCATTCTTCATATTTTGTTATGATTTGGCTTTTGTTTTTACTGTAAAGTCAGCAAGAGTATAAATTCCCAGCTGCTAAACAAGATAGCTATCATTATAGTTGTAATGTGTCTGGACTCAGCTTCACTAGTGTATTTTTGACATTTATTGTGTGTTTACATATATTTTAGAGGCTATTTCTACAGGAAATTTGTTGAAAACCCATATGAACTATATTTATGATAATATAACAATATTTTAGGTTGACAATAATTCTATTACACAATTTCTGATATAGAGCATCACATGCCTTTGTTTTAGAGGATTATGCCTCTAAAAACAGTGACAGTTTCCATGACTGCATTGGCTCTCTAGAGCTACACCTCTCTCCTCATCTCTCCTGATCTCTCCTCATCTCTCTTGGTCTCTCCTCATCTCTCCTGGTCTTTCCTCATCTCTCTTGGTCTCTCCTCATCTCTCCTGGTCTTTCCTCATCTCTCCTGGTCTCTCCTCATCTCTCTCTCACTCTCCTGGTCTCTCCTCATCTCTCCTGGTCTCTGCTCATCTCTCCTGGTCTCTGCTCATCTCTCCTGGTCTCTCCTCATCTCTCTTGGTCTCTCCTTATCTCTCATGGTCTCTCCTCATCTCTCCTGATCTTTCCTCATCTCTCTTGGTCTCCTCATCTCTCCTGATCTCCCCTCATCTCTCCTGGTCTCTCTTCATCTCTCCTGGTCTCTCCTCATCTCTCTTGGTCTCTCCTTATCTCTCATGGTCTCTCCTCATCTCTCCTGATCTTTCCTCATCTCTCTTGGTCTCCTGATCTCCCCTCATCTCTCCTGGTCTCTCCTCATCTCTCCTGGTCTCTCCTCATCTCTCCTGGTCTCTCCTCATCTCTCCTGGTCTCTCCTCATCTCTCCTGATCTCTCCTGGTCTCTCCTGGTCTCTCCTCATCTCTCCTGGTCTTTCCTCATCTCTCCTGGTCTCTCCCTCATCTCTACTCATCTCTCTTGGTCTCTCCTCATCTCTCCTGGTCTCTCCTCATCTCTCCTGGTCTCTCCTCATCTCTCCCTCATCTCTCCTCATCTCTCCCTCATCTCTCCTCATCTCTATCCCTCACTCTCCCCCCTGTGTGAGTGTCTATGACTCTGAGGCGGCGTTTGAACCTTGCTGTTTGTAGCTGTCGCTGTGAGAGGAGGAGCTTGGCCCTGTCGCCAGGAGCGTAGCCCTGAGACTGGCGCTCCAGGTGTTTGCTCTGCCTCCTCCCCTCTCTTTACTCACACTCCTCCCTCAGGATCACCCATCCCTCTCTCTCTCTCGCTCTCGCTCCATCTCTCCTGAATAACACAGTACCCTTCATCTGATCAGGGAGCTCACTTACTTTGTGTGAAGGTGCTGATCTGAATGCACTCGTGTGTGTGTGTGTGTGTGTGTGTGTGTGTTGAATGTTTGTTGGGCCCTAGGCAGCGCAGAGATCTGCATCAGCTGAAACATTGGGGCAACAGTGCAAGCTAGTGGTGACAAAATACTACTGCATGGTACAGGTTCAAGGACCAGGTACACAAATTCCATCATGGCATTGTGACTTCATTGCATAATGAACATTCTTGTATTGAAGACTCCTTGGCCTGCGAGATTGTAAGTGTAGTACATATTGAAGTCCGTTACTTATTTCCTTTGGCTCCATGGTTGTAAGAATAGAGTGTTATTGACCGCTGTGAGTTGACCCTATTCTATTAAAATAATATTACTTTCCCCTTGTATCTCTCTATATATATATACATTGGCAGACACCTGAGAGAGAGAGGCTTATGGAGGCCTGTAAGGTATTGAGGGGATTTTTATAATAACTGTGCTGCTGAGTACATTCCATCAGAAGATGAGGGAACTCGGAGAGCTATGTGTGTGTGCTGTGTTTGTGGCGGTATCGAAAATGAAAGCTCCTTTGGGCAGGACGAGATTATGCACAAGTGATTAATAAGAGCAGTAATAAACAAAGGCCCAGGAGATGTTTGAGGTGCTTAATAATGCATTATGTTCATAAAAGAGCTGGGCCTCTCCAATGGATCCCCGTAGAGCAGGAGACCCCAGAGGGACCGGCAGAGTGTGTGCTCAGAACAGAGAGGAAGTGTGGGTGGGCATGTGAGTGTGTGTTCGGCGAGAGACATATACACTGCATGACCAAAGGTATGTGGACACCTGCTCGTCGAACATCTCATTCCAAAATCATTGGCATTAATATGGAGTTGGTCCCCCCTTTGCTGCTATAACAGCCTCCACTCTTCTGGGACGGCTTTCCACTAGATGTTGGAACGTTGCTGCGGGGACTTGCTTCCATTCAGCCACAAGAGCATTAGTGAGGTCGAGCACTGATGTTGGGCGATGAGGCCTGGCTCGCAGTCGGTGTTCCAATTCATCCCAAAGGTGTTCGATGGGGTTTCTGTTTGGACCTCGCTTTGTGCACGGGGGCATTATCATACTGAAACAGGAAAGGGCCTTCCCAAAACTTTTGCCACAAAGTTGGAAGCACATAATCATCTAGAATGTCATTGTATGCTGTATCATTAAGATTTCCCTTCACTGGAACTAAGGGGCCTAGCCAGAACCATGAAAAACAGCCCCAGACCATTATTCCTCCTCCACCAAACTTTACAGTTGGCACTATGCATTCGGGCAGGTAGCGTTCAATGGCGGTGAGCTTTACACCACTCCAGCCAACGCTTGGCATTGTGCATGGTGATCTTAGGCTTGTGTGCAACTGCTTGGCCATGGAAACTCATTTCATGAAGCTCCCAACGAACAGTTCTTGTGCTGGCGTTGCTTCTAGAGGTAGTTTGGAACTCGGTAGTAAGTGTTGCAATCGCGGACAGACGATTTTTACGCGCTACATGCTTCAGCACTCGGCGGTCCTGTTCTGTGAGCTTGTGTGGCCAACCACTATGTGGCTGAGCTGTTGTTGCTCCTAGACGTTTCCACTTCACAATAACAGCACTTACAGTTGACCCGGGCAGCTCTAGCAGGGCAGAAATTTGATGAACTGACTTGTTGGAAAGGTGGCATCCTATGATGGTGCTACGTTGAAAGTCACTGAGGTCTTCAGTAAGGCCATTCTACTGCCGATGTTTGTCTATGGAGATTGCATGGCTGTGTGCTCGATTTTATATGACTGTCTGCAACGGGTGTGGCTGAAATAGTCTAATCCACTATTTTGAAGGGGTGTCCACATACTTTTGTATGTATAGTGTGTGTATATAATGGTACGACTGACACTCAAGCTCTGAAGTCTACATGACTTCAGTTTTTGTGTTTTTTCATAATTTTTTGTGATTGTTCACTTAACAGTTATTTTGTTATTGCTTATTGGTTTTGTAATGAAAAAAGAAAATATGAATGCTAACTCTACCAATTAAAGTGGTACGGTTAGTTTTTTGTTTATGTATATTTCTAAGAGCGTCTTTTGACATTGTTGTAGAGACGCTGGTTATTGATGTAATGCCATCTATGTCCTTCAGTCTGCCAGACAAAGGCATGTGTGGAACACATACAGCAGAGCATGTTAAAGAGTGTCTCTTTCAGCTTGTCTGTCAGTGAAAGACTATTCTTTCACCATTACTTTCTCTCTCGCTCTCTTTCTGTTTCTTTATCTTTCACTCCTTCACTCTCTCTTGTTCTGTTCTCTGAATATCAAGTGCGTATTACTGAAAAGACAGCACAGAAACCTATTGTTTTTACTGTAGATTTTTGTATTTTTATATAGGTTGTCAAAGTTAATATTTTGTTAAATGGTTTTATTGTAGCTACAAAAATCAATATAATCTATGTTGAAACAAGGAAAGATATTAAATAATTGTACCTTGTGAGTGGAAGGTTTGCAGTTGTTAAAAGAATAGATTACTTTGTAAAGACTATTAGACTTTAGTCAATAAAAGTGTCCCCACACGGCTGCTTTGGATGCAGACTCCCATACTCTATAAGTATAATTTTTTGTTACTTTTGATTTAATTAAGAAAAGCTAACCTTTTTCAAAGGTAGCCATTTTGATGGTGCACTTTGTCTTTGAAGGTTGAACAAAGGACTAACAGATCAGTCAACCTAGTTTCGGTCCATGACAATACACTCTTCATTTACAGTGTTACAGTTTTTTGCAACAGCAGGAAATAATGTTTTTGGACCTTGAAGACCACTCATAGAGAAAAAACAAAACAAAAAACAAGACTGTTTTGAATGAAAATAAAAAAACCTTGAAGCACAGCCTTATAAATTAATTTGTTCGTGTTGTATGATGGGAACACAGCTGGCCTCATTAACACGCGCACAACAAATAATTATAGTTTTTTTTCCTCTCTCCAGCCAGCCAATGCTTGGCTAATGGGCTTGCTGGGTTAATTATGTCAGAGCGTAATTACACAGGGCCCAGGGAGACGTAGTGGTGCACCACGCTGAGCCCACACCGCCTAATGATGGTGTATTGCTGACAGGGCCAAGATGGACCGCCCCAACACACCTGCTTGTCTTGGCTCACGCCACCCTCGTCCACTCCCACTCACCACCACCGCCCACCCATACACACGTTTGGGACCTGTCTGTCCCATTGTCCCACCAGACACAGTCTCTATGTGGACAGAAACACAGTGGACCCTGGCCTAGTCTGGTCTACACTACTGTTCAAAAGTTTGGGGTCACTTAGAAATGTCCTTCTTTTCGAAAGAAAAGCTATTTTCTTGTCCATTAAAATAACATCAAATTGATCAGAAATACAGTGTAGACATTGTTAATGTTGTAAATGGCTATTGTAGCTGGAAACTGCTGATTTTTAATGGAACACATACATAGGCGTACAGAGGCCCATTATCAGCAACCATCAGTTCTGTGTTCCAATGGCACATTGTGTTTGCTAATCCAAGTTTATCATTTTAAAAGGCTAATTGATCATTAGAAAACCCTTTTGCAATTATGTTAGCACAGCTGAAAACTGTCGTACTGATTAAAGAAACAATAAAACTGGCCTTCTTGAGACTAGTTGAGTATCTGGAGCATTAGCAATTGTGGGTTCGATTACAGAATCAAAATGGCCAGAAACAAATAACTTTCTTCTGAAACTCGTCAGTCTATTCTTGTTCTGAGAAATGAAGGCTATTCCACGCGAGAAATTGCCAAGAAACTGAAGATCTCGTACAACGCTGTGTACTACTCCCTTCACAGAACAGCGCAAACTGGCTCTAACCAGAATAGAAAGAGGAGTGGGAGGCCCCGGTGCACAACTGAGCAAGAGGACAAATACATTAGAGTGTCTAGTTTGAGAAACAGACGCCTCACAGGTCCTCAACTGGCAGCTTCATTAAATAGTACCCGCAAAACACCTGTCTCAACGTCAACAGTGAAGAGGCGACTCCGGGATGCTGACCTTCTAGGCAGAGTTGCAAAGAAAAAGCCATATCTCAGACTGGCCAATAAAAATAAAAGATTAAGATGGGCAAAAGAACACAGACACTGGACAGAGGAAGATTGGAAAAAAGTGTTATGGACAGACGAATCGAAGTTTGAGGTGTTCAGATCACAAAGAAGAACATTTGTGAGACGCAGACCAAATGAAAAGATGCTGGAGGAGTGCTTGATGCCATCTGTCAAGCATGGTGGAGGCAATGTGATTGTCTGGGGGTGCTTTGGTGGTGGTAAAGTGGAAGATTTGTACAGGGTAAAAGGGATCTTGATGAAGGAAGGCTATCACTCCATTTTGCAACGCCATGCCATACCCTGTGGACGGTGCTTGATTGGAGCCAATTTCCTCCTACAACAGGACAATGACCCAAAGCACAGCTCCAAACTATGCAATAACTATTTAGGGAAGAAGCAGTCAGCTGGTATTCTGTCTATAATGGAGTGGCCAGCACAGTCACCGGATCTCAACCCTATTGAGCTGTTGTGGGAGCAGCTTGACCGTATGGTACGTAAGAAGTGCCCATCATGCCAATCCAACTTGTGGGAGGTGCTTTAGGAAGCATGGGGTGAAATCTCTTTAGATTACCTCAACAAATTGACAACTAGAATGCCAAAGGTCTGCAAGGCTGTAATTGCTGCAAATGGAGGATTCTTTGACGAAAGCAAAGTTTGAAGGACACAATTATTATTTATATTAAAAATAATTATTTCAAACCTTATCAATGACTACATTTCCTATGCATTTTGCTATATTTCCTATTCAAAGTCATTTCATGTATGTTTTCATGGAAAACAAGGACATTTCTAAGTGACCCCAAACTTTTGAACGGTAGTGTATATCCAACTCCATAGGAGTTAGCTATCCAGCACAAACAGATCTGTGGTGACCATGCTAGCCCTGGCCTGTTTACCCTGGGCTGTCAAAGAGCTGCCCCCTGCTGTGGGATGAGCAGTAGCAGAGTAATAACAGACCAGCGGCTGCTAGGAACCAGCCATGGAAGCTCATTATCTCATCTGTAACACTGATGCAAACTCAGCTTACAGTGTAAACAATGTAGATCATGAGACCACACACACATAGATTTCTATGATAGCTTACACAATAACACCAAACCAGGTAGAACTTTTTAAAGAACTGTGTTTAAGTTCAAATGATTCCAGGATCCTGAATGCCAACTTTGCTGGTATACTGTGAGGACAGCAGGTGTGTGTGTGTCCGGAATGACCTCTGAACCTCCTCCTCCTCATAACATTCTGTTCATCCCCACCATCTCAGAGTCACTGTGATTCATGTGGTAATGAATCATACTTCACTGGAGAACATGATGTATTAATGTGCTATGATTTATGACCCTCAATGAGGTGCTGTTATGCTATCTGTTATCATGACCTCAGGGCAGACGTCCAATCAGCCATCATTAAGATAAGGGCTGAATTACAAAATGAACTGTATTTGCATAGATAACGATATGACTGACTTCTGTACATAATGGTGGGTCAGTCATGGTTCACTTCATGATTGGGATTAAGTCATTCTAGGTATAATGGCAGGATAGTGTAAAATTCCATTCAAGTATTCAATATTCCTTTTATAGTAAAGATTTACAGTTAGAGATTTGCTCTTAAAAGAATATCCAGCACTGCATATTAGCAACTTCAATTAGTAGCCCAGTTCTCTTTAGTTATCAGCAGTCTTCTTTGACTCTGCCACAAATTATTACCCATCTTTCAGAGCTACACACTGGCCCCTCTGAGAGTTACCCCTGCTGCTATCCTCTTTGACTGGGTTAATTTTGTATACAGATCTACCATATACACTATATATACAAAAGTATGTGGACACCCCTTCAAATTAGTGGATTCGGCTATTTCAGCCACACCCGTTGCTGACAGGTGTATAAAATATAGCACACAGCCATGCAATGTCCATAGACAAACATTGGCAGTAGAATGGCCTTACTGAAGAGCTCAGTGACTTTCAACGTGGCACCATCATAGGATGCCACCTTTCCAACAAGTCAGTTCGTCAAATGTCTGCCCTGCTAGAGCTGCCCGGGTCAACTGTAAGTGCTGTTATTGTGAAGTGGAAACGTCTAGGAGCAACAATGGCTCAGCCGCGAAGTGGTAGGCCACACAAGCTCACAGAACAGGACCGCTGAAGCCCGTAAAAATCGTCTGTCCTCGATTGCAACACTCACTACCTGAGTTCCAAACTGCCTCTGCAAGCAACATCAGAGAGTAGAGTAGAGTATTACTTTATTAATCCCAACTTGGGAAATAGTTTTTTATCACAGCATGCATCATTAATGACTTACAATGACAGGACAACCAACAATAACCAACCCATGATAAAAATAAGAAGAAGAAGAAGAAAAAACATATTAAGACACATAAAGGCACATGCAGAAACCATAGTATCCCTAAAAGAATAGTCTGATTCAAGTGCTGTTTTCTATCCTACTCTGGGGGGAAACACGCAACAACATTTTCCAATAGAAAGACCTCATAAAACAGTTAATCAATTACACTCATTTAGGGCTGTCACCGTATATATTTTTCCATATATAGACACACCCTATGTGTTTTAATAAAATCAACTATATGCATTGAGCTAGTTTACGGTTTGATGAAATAAGACAAATGCCTCACCAGGGTGCCAGAGATCCAGATAACCAGAAGAAAAAAACCTTAACCTGACCCAACTATTCTCCTCCCGCTCCTGCTGGCTTTCGCAGATTCTACCATTACTCTCCCGAAGAAGACGGTAATAGGCTACACGAGGAGTTAGCAACATTTCTCATGTTGAATGCCAATGTATCTTAACATGTCTACCGATCTGCGTGCCAGTTATGGTTTTCATATGCACATTTTCGGGAAACAGTTTAATTTAATTTATAATAATGTCTTCACATCTCAATCATTGTCATGTGGTTAATCAAAATTATATCCAAATCTAAATGAAAACTATACAAACCTAAAAAGTAACTTCTATTGCCATTGCCAACTATGTAAAAATAGCCTACATAAAGCCAACAAATAAAAACATTGCAGCCTGCAGGTAGAAAATATCCTGATAAAAATAAATATCCTATAAATCACATTAGCTACACATGGCCTGTCTGCAACGAATTTGAAACATTGTATCAACTATTAAGTTGGATCCAGCCCCGAAGCTTGCGCTAGCGAACTTCTAACATTGTATAAAATATTCTGGGCCCTCAGTTTACCCGCCGGTGAGCTCCGCTGTAGGCTATTTGCGCAAGGGATTAGAAGCGGAGCTGAGTACCGGCACCTCAAATGTTCTACTGCTTGAGCTTCTGTTCATCTTATAGAATATTAGCTCAAAAGTATTGTGGAGCTCCTGCACCTAATTATAAACAGTAGCAGCACCCAACATGAGTACCGGAACCTATTTCAGTCCATGTCAAGCACTGATAAGAAGTAATCAGGTGGGCCTATTTTATGACGTTTCCACTGGATCAGAGCATGGCATTTTTCGCTTTCATGCTGAGTGGTTATCTAAAGGGAGAGAGCTGGAAAGATTTTTCAGGGAGCCTATAGGCCTACATCTATGCGTGCGCGTCCTTACTCAACATTGACAGGAGCGCTCCAAACAAAAGACAATGACTAAATTGACAAAACTAATAAACCAAAACTTGTTTCTCACAAGTGTAGCACAGGTTGTGCACTCTGTAAACAATGTGTCCACTCAGACAATGAGAACGGGAAGACTGGAATACTAATATTGAATGCATTAAAATAATTACCGTGACCAAAGTAACAAACATTGTAGATTAGAAATTATAGGAATTAACGGTAAATGTACTACTGGTGATATATGTAATGGGGAATTGATATACACTAACAATCAAGCGCAAACAATTCACACAATGAAGTTATGAAACAATGAATGTGCACAAATTGACGGGAGAGAGCGCATTCTGGAGAGAGAAGTGCATTCTGCATCTAGGTGCATGGTCAATCTGACATCTGCATTGGCCATGCAGCATTTACGGTGATATGGCCTCAGCAGAAGTCAGGGCATTCATACTTCTTGCGCTTCACGGAGCAGTGCAGAGCTGTTGTCAAGGAAGTGAGTTTGTGTTTATACAGGATGTACCACCCCCACCTACCATCAACCAATCATGTCAATGCAGAGCTATACAGAGCCCTCATCATTGTTACAAAATTTGGGAGGTGCATGGTGATGCGGTACAGAGCTCGATTTTGCCTCTGCATGCCTCTGGAGGCTCCGCAATTGCCTCACACCCTCCATATGGAGCCTCCGACCACATTTTCGGATCAAGCATAAATTGGCTTTTAGTTTAGGCCTTTGCAATGGATGAATTCACTGAGATGGGCACATATATACTGCTCGACTAAAACAATCAACAGCCTAATGATTAAACAATCGTCCAGTCGACTAATTGGGGTCAGCCCTACACTCATTAAAAAGCCTCATGGCTGTGGGTAAAAATGACTGCCTAAACCTCTCAGTGGTTTAGACAGGATGAACCTGCTACTGAAGCTGCTCCTGTGTTGCATTAGAGTGCTGTGGAGTGGTCAGCACAATAACTGTTCATAGGGAGCTTCATGAAATGGGTTTCCATGGCCGAGCAGCCGCACACAAGCCTAAGAGTGGTGTAAAGCTCGCCGCCATTGGACTCTGGAGCAGTGGAAACGCGTGCTCTGGAGTGATGAATCACACTTCACCATCTGGCAGTCCGACAGACAAATCTGGGTTTGGCGGATGCCAGGAGAACGCTACCTGCCCGAATGCATAGTGCCAACTGTACATTTTGGTGGAGGAGGAATAATAGTCTGGGGTTGTTTTTCATGGTTTGGGCTAGGCCCCATAGTTCCAGTGAAGGGAAATCTTGATGATTCTGTGCTTCCAACTTTGTGGCAACAGTTTGGGGAAGGCCCTTTCCTGTTTCAGCATGACAATGCCCCCATGCACAAAGCGAGGTCCATACAGAAATCGTTTGTTGAGATCGGTGTGGAAGAACTTGACTGGCCTGCACAGAGCCCTGACCTCAACCCCATCGAACACCTTTGGGATGAATTGGAACGCCAACTGCAAGCCAGGCCTAATCGCCCAACATCAGTACCCGACCTCACAAATGCTCTTGTGGCTGAATGGAAGCAAGTCCCCACAGCTATGTTCCAACATCTAGTGGAAAGCCTTCCCAGAAGAGTGGAGGCTGTTATAGCAGCAAAGGGGGGACCAACTCCATATTAATGCCCATGATTTTGGAATGAGATGTTCGACGTGCAGGTGTCCACAAACTTTTGGTCATGTAGTGTATCTACCTTCACTTTAAATTTGACTTAGCCACTGATCGATAATCCCTGCTTGTCCACGTGTGAGAGATCCCTTACCGTAATCTCTGCACTTTGATAATGGAAAGTTAAAAGGATATATGGAAAGAGGCTGATAAAGGGATTTCTATGACAGTGGGTTGATGTGAAGAGCACTGTTTTAAGTCATCCTGTTTGTCTAAGAAGAGCTCTTCTCTTAAGTGTGATGTCCCATGTGACTGATGCAATATCTCCAGTGTTGGTGTAACAGTGAACACAGACACACAGGAGGCTCATTTGACTGTAAACGGTCCTGGGGAAAAATAGTTCAATCAATTATCTCTGACCAAGTGTTTCTGATGAAACTTCAGATATGTCAAGTGGCTATGGAAGTCTTTCAGTAAATTGCTTATTTAAACTTGTGCGTCTCTGATAAGTGTTTGTGCGTGTGACTGTTGTGTTTCTGTGGCCTGTTTAGACTTGGCTGTCTAGTCTCAGTGGTGTCTGTTGAAGTGTAAACGTCTGTGGTTAGGCTCTCTGAAAAGTCAGTTCAGTCTGTGCCCATGCTATAAAAGGATACGATTGTGATCCACACAGCAGCAGAAAGATGAACGGATGAAAGCTGTGGGAGAAAAGTTTGTGCAGAAAAGCAGCGATTTTCCCTCCTCTTTTGGAGTTTTGAAGGGCTGGTGTATGTGTCTCTATATCCTCCCTTCCTCCTTGTCAGACGGCTCCCCTGAGCCCCTCTCTCTGTGCTTTGGCACTAGAAGTCACCTCCTTTGGTGTGCGGCAGGCAGGTACACAACAGGAGCAGCTCTCCCTCTCAGAGCTGTTGAACTTTTCGGGAGGGGAAGAAAGGGAAGGAGAAGATTAAAAACAGCCCTGTGATGTGGAGTGCCGAGCCGCCTCCTGAGAATTCCTGGCATAATAATTTAAATGATCAAATGATACAGAGGAGACTTGTTAGCAGAGAAACCGACTCCTAGTTGGCCCCATGGGCCCAGCGCTGCTGCACATGCATTGCAAAGCAGCTCCTCTGTTGTGCTAAAGAATCCAGCTTCTTTTTTTTCTGTTCTTTTCAGGAGCAGACTTTTTTTCCACACTTTGTTGGATTTGTTTAGGTGTATACTCGGGACTAAAGTGCGTGTCATATTCTACTGAAATCTATGCTGCTTACTTTTTAATGAATTTATAGGTGATGCTCTCCATTGGATTTGATCTCAGTAGTTTAGTCTATTCATGTCATTAGGCCCAGCCTGTGAGATTTTCAAAGGCATCTCATTTGAGTGAATTCCAGAGACACTCTTGGGAACAATTTCTCAGTGGGATTCTCAGTCTCCTACTGTTGATACTGCTGTGCAGGAGAGCATATGATGTACTGTCCTGTACTGTCTCATGCAGGATATGGGATAGTAGATATCTTTTTTTATATAGGCTATTTAAAAAGTTACATTTTAAACATCCTGACATCAGTTGTATAATAGGATAAGTATTTTGACAGCAGCAACAGCATAATTGTGATATGTCATTATATTTGATCAAATAGATGGTCAATGAAATTCACTTGACTGAAGTGTTGAACTTTTAACTTTCCTAATAATGTAACCCACTTCAGCATCCAAAGCCATTTTTACATCATGTTCAGATGTACAAGCTCTTGAATTATCTCTCAATATTATTTGTGAGTGGCTGTTTTGTGTGGAATGGGTCATAGAAAAATATCTTGTGTGTTTTTGCTCTCAGACCCAGCTCCCGTGCTGGAGGCCACACACACCCTGGAGGAGAGGCTGCAGCAGCTGCAGAGTTCGGCCCCAGACAGTGAGGCCCTGGTCAGGGAGATCAGCAGGCACTGGAGGAGACACCTGGAGTGCCTTGACAAGCCAGGTCAGAGCCACAGCCCTCACAGCTCTCACCCCAGAACGGGGCCAGGCCCAGCTCACTGCTGCTTAATTGTTAAAACATTTCAATCTCAGAGAAAAACATCTAAGAAAGTCACTTTGATCTACAAAAATACACTTTAAGCCACAAAAGCAGGGGTTTGAACAGAAATTACTTTGCAATTGTTTAGTTCTGAACAGAACACATTTTTTTTGTCGTTTTGTTCCACTGTTCCGACATCTTACCTTTTTGTAGTTAATACAGTGCATTCGGGAAGTATTCAGACCCCTTCCCTTTTCCCACATTTTGTTATGTTACAGCCTTATTCTAAAATTGATTAAATTCATTTTTTCCCCATCAATCTACACACAATACCCCATATGACAACGCGAAAACAGGTTTTTATATATTTTTTCAAATATATTAAAATAAAAAACAGAAATACCTTACATTTACATAAGTATTCAGACCCTTTGCTATGAGACTCGAAATTGAGCTCACGTGTATCCTGTTTCCATTGATCATCCTTGAGATGTTTCTACAACTTGATTGGAGTCCACCTGTGGTAAATTCAATTAATTGGACATGATTTGGAAAGGCACACACCTGTCTATATAAGGTCCCACAGTTGACAGTACATGTCAGAGCAAAAACCAAGCCATGAGGTAGAAGGAACTGTCCGTAGAGCCCCGAGACAGGATTGTGTTGAAACACATCTGGGGAAGGGTACCAAAAATTATCTGCAGCATTGAAGGTCCCCAAGAACACAGTGGCCTCCATCATTCTTAAATGGAAGAAGTTTGGAACCACCAAGACTCTTCCTAGAGCTGGCTGCCCGGCCAAACTGAGCAATCGGGAGAAGGGCCTTGGTCAGGGAGGTGACCGAGAACCCGATGGTTACTCTGACAGAGCTCCAGAGTTCCTCTGTGGAGATGAGAGATCCTTCCAGAAAGACAACCTTCTCTGCAGCACTCCACTAATCAGGCCTTTATGGTAGAGTGGCCAGACGAAAGCCACTCCTCAGTAAAAGGCACATGACAGCCCGCTTGGAGTTTTACCAAAAGGCACCTAAAGGACCCTCAGACCATGAGAAACAAGATTCTCTGGTCTGATGAAACCAAGATTGAACTCTTTGGCCTGAATGCCTAGCATCACGTCTGGAGGAAACCTGGCACCATCCCTACGGTGACGCATGGTGGTGGTAGCATCATGCTGTGGGGATTTTGTTTTACCTGCAGGGACTGGGAGACTAGTCAGGATTGAAGGAAAGATGAACGAAGCAAAGTAAAGAGAGATCCTTGATGAAAACCTGCTCCAAAGCTCTCAGGACCTCAGACTGGGGCGAAGGTTCACCTTCCAACAGGACAATGACCCTAAGCACACAGCCAAGACAACGCAGGAGTGGCTTCAGGACAAGTCTCTGAATGTCCTTTAGTGGCCCAGCCAGAGCCTGGACTTGAACCCAATCAAACATCACTGGAGAGACTTGAATATAGCTGTGCAGCGACGCTCCCCATGCAACCTGACAGAGCTTGAGAGGATATGCAGAGAAGAATGGGAGAAACTCCCCAAATACAGGTGTGCCAAGCTTGTAGCGTCATAACCTAGAAGACTTCAACAAAGTACAGAGTAAAGTGTCTGAAAACATATAAATGTGATTTCAGTCTAAAAACCTGTTGCTTTGTCATTATGGGGTATTGTGTGTAGATTGATGAGGAAAAAAACACTTTAATCAATTTTAGAATAAGGCTGTAACGTAACAAAATGTGGAAAAAGTCAAGGGGTTTGAATACTTTCCGAATGCACTGTAAATCCAATGTGAAACGTGATAGCTGTAGTATCCTTAACTAGCATTGAAAAAGATAATCCTTTCTTCTCTAATAAAAAATCTCTCCCTAATTTCTGAATCACGCTTGTAACATCAGTGGGCTACAGTAGCCTACACACGCACACCCACTGGTAAAGATGTTCAGCTGGCAGGCAGACACTGGTATACGTTTCTGTGTGACAGAGTGAGAGATTTGCGTAGGCGCTTTGTTGCATTTTTCTTTTGTGGGACTGGAAAAAAATCCCCACAACGTAAAAAAACCCTGTTATTAACAGGTTCCCACGCTTTTAAAATAACGGTTCCGGAACAGTATAGCTCACTTTCGTTCCTGATTTTGATTCTGGTCCTTGAAAAATGGCTTTCTTTTCCGTTTTTCGGTTCTGTTCCCTGAACCTTTTCCAACCCCAGCACACAAGGATGTCTCTGTTCCATGCACTCTCTCTGTGGCCCCTCACCTCAGATGACCACAGCTCTCATATGTACTCCTCTCCCTCTCTTCTCCGCTCTTCTCCACAGACGACACAGAAGAAGGCCCAGCAGCAGTCTCAGGAGCTGGGGAGGCATCGAGCCGGACAGCCTGCGTGATGACTCCCAACAGCAAACAGGCCTTCAGAGCCACAGGCTCACCTCAGCAGAACCACCAGATCCAGAGCCAGACAGAGGGGTGAGAAACACAGGCCTGGTCCTCGCCTCCTTCACACCCCTGTGAACATGATATGATGTGTATAATCAAAACAAAAATTAGAACAGCCCTCACCCCGTCATACTGTACAATGAAAATAGATCAGGATGTAATCACATTTAAACCTTAAACTAATAAGTGGAAACAGAATGCAATGCAGTATTGTGTGCTGTATTCCTGAGAGTCTATGAAAGTTTGGTCATTACATTTACATTTACGTCATTTAGCAGATCTTAGACATTGTGTCTCTCTCATAGGGAGGTCGAAGACACAGATGCCACTCTGGCCGACAGACTGGGTGAAGCCGAGGAGAGGATCAAAGTGCTGCATTCATGTGAGTATTTTTGTCCGATGGTCCTTTTTGGACACTGTGAGGAGAAAGGACATCATGACTAATGCCCTTCCTTTATCTCTCTAGCTCTGAGTACAGCCCAGACAGACCTGCTGGACCTGCGGTGTAAATACGACCAGGAGAAGGCCAACAAGTAAGAGCCTGCTTGTTTCTCCACTCTATCGCTGTTCAAGTAACCAACTCAGCCTATGTCCATATTGTCCTCTATGCTGCTTCTCTAACATGTTCATTGCCATCATTCACTCTACTCATGGTCTCTCCATATACACTACTGCATGTCCCTACTCAGCCCACCTATACATACACCACTATGCTCAGCCTTCTCTCTTTAGCCATGCTGTCTCTACCCTAATCCACACATGGTCACTCCCCCACTGTAATGTACCCATTTCCAGTCTGAATGTAGTTGATGATCCCTGATTAAGGAATAGGGAGCCATTTGGGACGTTACCATGGTGAGACTCACTGACTAATGCAGGTCTATGGATGGGAGAGCTCTGTGTTGGCCTCCTCTGTCTGGCAGCCAGAGCCTTGCCTTGACAGGCCTCAAGAAGAATGGCTCCATTTAAAGATTGCTCCAGAAAACATTCTACCATGTCCTGGATCTGTGAGCGCTATGTATCCAGCTCAACGGTTGAAATGAATATGAAGTTGTATGAAGGATGTCGATAGACATTAAAAGTAAACACTCCTTTGTTTGGGTTGTGCTGCGAACGGAGCACAGTGAGCCGGCGCTAATGGATTTTCTCCCAGGCTTAATCCATGGTGGAATTGAACTGGAGTTTCCAGACCCACTGCCATCCATTCTGCTGGATTTAAAGCATTTTCCATTTGACTCCCCTCTCATGTTCAGTAGCTGTTCACAGTGAAAGCTCTTTAGCTCTCTGTGAGGGGAGAGGAAGGATGGTTGTGTGTTGGTGTTCGGGCCACAGGGCCTGTGCTTCATTTGTGAATGGCTGGGTTTGTAGTTAGTGAGTAGGTAATGAGGAATACATCCTATAGGGGTTGACATATGAGTGGTAGTTGTCCTCAACTGACTGTAGTAGTCTAATAGGAATACTAAAGACACAACCCCCTGGCCCATAATCACCACTACCCCTCTCTCAGGACTCATCCCCATGGCTCTGTGACGCCAACTTTATCTCTTCTTACTCTCACTGACTTTTTCCTTGATGTTGATAATTAGGGTCATTTGGCTACTTTGGCTGATTTGAGTACCTGAACAGGTAATCAATACAAAGCATTTTTCCATACTGCACAAGCTCATTAAATCTGTATGTGACACCTGTTACCTTTTTCTGTCAATGTGGTCCCATCCATCCTAGGCTTATTGACGTGGTCTGGACACTGCCCAGAGCCCTATGAGTCTTGGACTTTACACCAGTGCAACACTACTACTAATTAATATGGAGAAATATTGGCTGATTGGGGCTTTTAAAGGTCCTGAATTTGGGGTTCTAACTATTGTTAACCCCACAAAATGTTGGAAAGCAATGCTTTGTGACTATTCAGAATGGGTGATGAGTTAAGTTGTTTGTGCCATTAATCTTCCTAAAGCAAGCCCATAATAACCAGCAGTGAGATGAAGGGGACTGTGGGGGCAGACGGAGGTGAGAAAGAACATGGTTGGTTTGAAAAGAGTTTGTTTGATAGTGAACAAGATCTATGATTTGCTCTCACAAACACATGTAGTGAATTGGAAAGGGATTTCTTTGTCCTGAAAAACTCCAGAAATCTATGTGCATATTTTAATCAATCTCACAATCCTCATTAATTCATTTTTCTCCACCTTTTGAAAATCAAGTCCCATGTGTCTAAAAAGAAACAGTTGAACCTCAAACAAACCTCATGAATAATCTGGCTGAGCTGCTATTTAAATTAGACTCCTCTGATTGTTAGATGAATGGAGGCATGTAGGAATGGAATCTCCAAAGAACTCTGAGTAGGGATCAGACAGGCAGTCCATTTCTGTCTGGTTTGGTTGTATTGTAGGGCGCTATGTGAGGACTGTGATTTACTGTGAATCGTGTAAGAAAAGGGTGTTGCCCTACATTGAGGTCAAGGAGGGTGTATAAATCATGCTAGACTATGAGATAGCCCCCTCAGTAACCCACTGGCTGGTTCTGTGTGTGTGTTCCAGGGCGGAGGAGGTCAGCGTGATCATGACCAACCTTGAGAAGGCGAACCAGGTGAGTGAGACATGCCGTCCTGTAGGCAGCACTCTGATTGAGATGCTCATTCATTACGGTAATCAAGCCTCCTGTTTAATTAGACACCCTGCATCCTGCAGCCCCCGTCCCCCCTGCCTCCCACTCCCCTGCCTCCCCCTCCCTGAGCCCCTGTGATTAGAGGCGGAAAACCCTGGCCCCCGTCTGTGGGTGCTCCACGGCGCCACGGCAACACTCAATAGAGGACAGGAGAGACTGCCGAGCGCGATTGATGTCGGAGTGCCATGCGCTGGGGCTCTTACTTACCTCATTGCCTTGATTGCTATCTTTCCTTCCTAGTGATTTCTATTCTCTCTCTCCTTATCTCTATCATTTTCCTCTATTTCCTCTCTCTCTCTCTCTCTCTCTCTCTCTGTCATTCGCTCTCTATCCTACCTTCTCTCTCTCTCTCTCTGTCATTCGCTCTCTATCCTACCTTTCTCTCTCTCTCTGTCATTCGCTCTCTATCCTACCTTCTCTCTCTCGCTCTCTCTCTCTCTGTCATTCGCTCTCTATCCTACCTTTCTCTCTCTCTGTCATTCGCTCTCTATCCTACCTTCTCTCTCTCTCTCGCTTTCTCTCTCTGTCATTCGCTCTCTATCCTACTCTCTCTCTCTGTAATTCGCTCTCTATCCTACCTTCTCTCTCTCTCTCTCTTTCTCTCTTTCTCTCTCTGTCATTCGCTCTCTACCCTACCTTCTCTCTCTCTCTCTCTTTCTCTCTCTGTCATTCGCTCTCTACCCTACCTTCTCTCTCTCTCTCTCTCTCTCGCTCTCTTTCTGTCATTCGCTCTCTATCCTACCTTCTCTCTCTTTCTCTCTCTGTCATTCACTCTCTATCCTACCTTCTCTCTCTCTCTCTCTGTCATTCGCTCTCTATCCTACCTTCTCTCTCTCGCTCTCTCTCTCTCTGTCATTCGCTCTCTATCCTACCTTCTCTCTCGCGCGCACTTTCTCTCTCCGCCAGCAGCTCTTAGATAAATGTTCTCAATATGAATCATTAATTAGCAGCCAGAGTGTGACAGAGCAGGTAAACAGTTTGGGAAGAAAGTGCGCTGACTAAACAGTCTTCTCAGCAAAATGGAGTGGTGGGCCTTGTCTCAACCCCCTCCTCTATTTCTTTTTTTGCTGAGGGTCTGTCCTCAGATTTATCTTTCTGTTCTCTTCAGGACCAGTTAATCTGTATATCTGCTGAGTGACTGACATATTGGTTGTGTCAGTGTTTTGTTGTGTGAGTTGTAATGCTGTGATGTTTGGTTGTAGAAAGCGGAGATGGCCCAGAGGCAGGTGGAAAGGCTAAAGGAACAGCTGGCCAGTGCCCGGAGCACCACCCCAGGCAGCTATAATCCACCAGAGGGCACTAGTGGGGTAAGACGAGACCACATCCACTTCCTCTTCAGATCAATGTGTTCCTCGATTTATTCCCCTTCAAATTCATTGACAGGGAGTCAAGTCAAGCTTCACATCATGGATCTTTTAAGTGTGTGAATTCTGGATGGCAGAATATTTGTCTTTTTGAAAAGGGATGATCACCTTCCATTAATTTACCCTTCAGTGTCTTTTACTCTCTTTGACTTTCTTTCTCTCTCACACCTGGTCTTTCTTTCTTCCACTTAGGAGAGGGATGAGAAGGGCGATGTGTTGCCATCCAAGTTGGAGGCTAAGCTGATTGCTAAAGACCGAGAGATCCTCAGGCTGTTGGAGAACGTACAGAGACTGCAGTTCGCATTACAGGAAGTCCAGGACATCTCAGCCAATCAGATAATATCGCTGGAACGCCAGCTGGCCTATAAAACAGAATCTATTGAGGTATGTCCTATTGCACACACTCAAATGGCAAGAGGTTCCTTCTTGTTAGTGGAGTTTAGTGAAATATGCTTCCTCTCTTTGACTGTTTCAGAGATTAGAAGCTAAACTGCAATCCCAGATGGACTATGAAGAGATTAAAACAGAACTCAGGTGACCCACAGTGCTTAAGAAGAGACTACTAATCGTATTACACCATCTTATATACAGGAACACAATATAACATTCTTACTGTGTTTTTTTTCCTCTTGTAGTATCCTGAAGGTAATGAAGCTGGCCTCAGCGAATGGTAGCTCGTCCCAGGTGAGATATTTACTGACGGTCTGCTGTGTATTGCCTGGTTGTTCATAGCCCAGTATAAAACAAAGTAGTTTGTTTCTTAACAAAACAGATTTTTGTTTTCCTCTAAATGTTCCACTGCAGTCAGGGAAGGAAAAGTACAGCAGTGCCATTGAATGTCTCAGTGAGCGTCATCCGAGCGTCATCCATTGTAAGGATATCTACAGCCACTATAATTGATACATCGGAATTGAACAGCCTGTGTGTGTGTGTGTCACCAGAACTCTGCCAAGGCTGCAGAGGCTCTTTTGCGGGACAAAGAGGCCTTTCTTCCCTCTCACAAATACCTGATGGATAAGGCCAGAGTCTTACGCAACAATGGTGAGGCAACAGTGTCTATGGCCTCGAAAGCAGCAAAACCGTGATGTATCATGGGTACATTGTGACTGACTGATATACAAATCATATTCAGTAGTTATTTATGATGCAAGGTGATTTGTAGATCAGTGAGTCCGTCTCGACTCGCCTTCTAAGTCAGATGGAATGTCGAATGCGCCCTATGTCTATGACATCTAATTGTAGTTCTTGAAAGCTGTTTGTAGTGTTTAGACCTGAGTCTGCACAGTGTATGTAAACTTCATGTAGTGTCTGTGTTGGTCCTATGCAGCTGTAACCCCAGTGGCTGTGAAAGTGCTGCCAAACTGAGTGTGACTGTGTCTGCAGATGAGGACCAATCGGAGGAGTCAGGCAGGAAGGGGGGCAGGCCCACAGGGTCCTTCTCCTCAGTCTCCCAGGTGGATGAGCGTACCTCGGCCAGCCCTTGTCCTCCCACCATGGACATCTCCTCCTCTAGCCACGACCTCCCCCGCCCCTTTTCTGTGTCCCCCTGCTCAGGGGGCAGGCTGTCTGCGGACCACGTCCTCCACAAGCAGCTCCTCTGCTCCCCACTCTTCAAGAAGGAAGCCGGCAGCCCCATCATGGCCTTCCCCACCGCCCTGTACGCATCCAAAGCCGCCCTAATGTCAACCAATCAGGGACCTGCAGGGGCTGGGGGCATTGAGGCCGGCCTGCCCAGCGACCAATCAGAGAGTGGGAGCTCCACCGCGGGCGATGATGACCAGTTGGAGACAGCGGATATTGCCTTCCAGATCAAAGAGCAGCTGCTGAAGCACAACATTGGCCAGCGTGTGTTTGGTCACTACGTGCTGGGCCTATCACAGGGCTCGGTCAGTGAGATCCTGGCCCGGCCCAAGCCCTGGAGGAAGCTGACAGTGAAAGGCAAGGAGCCATTCATCAAGATGAAACAGTTCCTGTCTGATGAACAGAACATCCTGGCCCTCAGGACCATCCAGGTCCGACAGAGAGGTGAGTTGGTCTGGACTGGACAGTGGTTATCCTAAACCACAGATATGACAGCAGATCACTGGGTGTGTCAGGAAATACTGGACAGGATCACAGTGCCCAGCCATGAAAACTCACTTTCTAAACTGAAAGAATTGCAGGCATTCATTTAAAAGTGTTTAATAGGTGAAAACTAAAGGTTGTCTTCAGAGGTATTGCGGTAGCAGTATTTTTATTTGAGGATTTTATTAGTGCTGTGGGATAGAGCAGAGTTGGCCACTCGGTCTCTCATGTGTTTTATTTTTGAAAGGCTGGTGGTTTAGTTTCTCTGCGTTTAAACCTTTTAATCCCCTTGGCCCGCACCTCAAACTTCTTCATGGCTTCCTCTCCCATGTTTGTTGTGTTACTTTTAAACTTAGTTTTCTCCCCAAATTTCAGTGCTTTTTAAAGTTGAGCTTGCCGTATACTGCAACCTCAGATGCCAAGATCTCAAAGGCAGCCATTGATCTAACAGTCAAAAACAAGGCCTTGGAACTGCCCTCTGATCAGCCATCCCACTCACTCACCTCCTCTCTCTGATACCCTCTCTGTGGCAGGGAGCATCACTCCTCGCATCCGAACTCCTGAAACTGGGTCAGACGACGCCATCAAGAATATCTTGGAGCAGGCCAAGAAGGAGATCCAGTCCCAGAGAGGGTGGGTCTGGAACAGGTTATGCATCTACTCTTTATTCAACTGTGCTAGGTCAGGTGACATTTAGATTAGCATTATTTTGGTGTATACCTTTTGAGAGCAATTTGTTTTGATGGCAGTTTAAGTTTTTGAAGTTGGTGTGGAGTGTGTATTCATAGAGTTGTATGTTGTGACTGTGTGTGGGGTGTGTGTGTGTGTGTAATGCGCTCTGCAGGTGACATTAAGTCATCCCTGGGCAGCCCCTCAGGCAGGAGCATTAACGGGGCGGGCGGCAGCTCAGATGACACCATCAAGAACATCCTGGAGCAGGCCAGGAGGGAGATGCAGGCGCAGCAGCAGGCCCTGATGGAGATGGAGGTCTGTAGCAGGGCCTCGGCCACCACCACTGGGTCCCAAGTGAAGCGCCTGGGGCTCCCTGAGCCCTCCAAGGGCCTGCCCCTACCCACCTTCATCAAACAGGAGGATGGGGGCACGGTGACCGTGTGCATGGCCAACCCCGTCAGCAGCCCCCAAACCCCCCTCAGTGTCATCTCCCCCGCCGCCTTCGTCCAGAACATCATCCGTAAAGTCAAGTCGGAGATCGGCGAGGCAGGGATTTACTTCGACCAGCACTGGTCCGTGGAGCGGGGGCCCATAGGCATGGTGGGCGGCGTAGGGGGCAGCAGCTCTCGGCCCTTCACCTCAGTGTCTCCCTCCCTGTCCTCCTCCTCGTCCTCGGGCCCCTCGGCTCTGCCCCGGCCCCAGTTGGAGAACGGAGAGAGTCTGCCCAACAGTGAGGAGGCGTCTGCGGCCGAGGAGGACACTGGCTCGGGGATGATGCAGTCTGTGGAGGTGAAGGTGGAGTCAGACGTGTCAGTGAGCGGAGAGTCGACCGGCCCTGGCCGTGGCCTGGCCTACTACCCATCATACATCCCCCGCACCCTGAAGCCCACCGTGCCGCCACTGACGCCCGAACAGTATGAGATGTACATGTATCGCGAGGTGGACACCATCGAACTCACCCGACAGGTCAAAGAGAAGCTGGCCAAGAATGGCATCTGTCAGAGGATCTTTGGTGAAAAGGTGTTTGTTCACTTTACTTTGCTGTCCTAACTTCCTTACTTCCTTGTTTTGTCTGTCCATTGTTTTGGATGTCTCTTTTATGCCTTGTAGCATCATACAACTAAGTAATTAGCAAGGCTTCTTTTTAAGTAAAAGATTATTAAAGATAGTTCATTCTTGATCACGTGGGAGCAAAGGTGTTTATTTCTATAGATTGCGTGCTACCGTCCTCTAGTGGTTGTATATATGCAACACTTAAAATAGTAATGTGGTGATGTTGTGCCAGTCACTTTTGTTACATCTCAAACTGATTTTCGTCTTTATCAACTTGAGATTCATATTCACATTAGAAATAGCTCTTTACTATTTACTCCTGTTTACTGAGCTGTTTACTCAATTTTACTTGCTGACTTGCTGTTTCTGGTGTCCTCCCCAGGTGCTGGGTCTGTCTCAGGGCAGTGTGAGTGACATGCTATCTCGGCCCAAACCCTGGAGCAAGCTGACCCAAAAAGGCAGGGAGCCCTTTATCCGCATGCAGCTGTGGCTGCTGGACCAGCTGGGACAAGGACTCACCCAGCTCCCCAGCCAGAGCCTCTCTCAAGGTGGGCCACTCCACATCACACTGCAACTTGGACACATCTATTTTATAGAAGTAATACTTTGTATACTTTTAAGTTATGGTCAAATCAGTTGAATAGAGAAGGTCTCTTTGCTTCTTTATCTGTTGCTCTAACTGATGATATGGACCTCTGACTTCCGCCCATAGATAAAAGCCCAGTGACGGCCCAGTCGTCGCCCTCCCCGCCCCCCAGCCCAGAGGAGAGCCACCCCAGCCCACTGGTGGAGCCTGTCAGCCTGACCCTGGAGAGCAGCAAGGAGAACCAGCAGCCTGAGGGCCTAGTGGCCCCCCGCCCAGAGGGAGGGAAGTCCACCCCCAGTCTGCTGTCCCTCCACCAGCCCCACACCCCGCTGGGCATCCAGGAGCTGGTGGCCATGTACCCAGAGTTGGACACATACGCTATCACCAAGAAAGTCAAGGAGGTACTAACAGACAACAACTTAGGTGAGTCTGTTGGTGTCACTGGATATGGGTTTTAGAAATGAGTGTCTATGTTGTGGTGAGTTATTGATATGTGTTGTGGTTTTGTCTGACCACCTGACTAGGAAAAACCCTGAGTCTTAGTTATGGCATGTGTCCACTAGGTCAGCAGTGTTTAAACATATCTACTTTGTGTGCTCTGTTTGGGGAAATGTGTGTCAAGGTGTGTGTTGTTTACACCGTTGTTTGTGTGTGTGCGCTAGGCCAGCGGCTGTTTGGGGAGAGTATACTGGGCCTCACCCAGGGCTCAGTGTCAGACCTGCTCTCCAGGCCCAAGCCCTGGCACAAACTCAGCCTCAAAGGCAGGGAGCCTTTCGTCCGCATGCAATTGTGGCTCAACGACCCGCACAATGTGGACAAGCTGAGGGACATGAAGAAGATGGAGAAGAAAGGTTGGTCTATTTACAGCATGTTATCTGGTGTTCTGTTATCAGGGTTTGCATGTTAGCAGTATGTGTATTTACTGTACCTGCTCATGTACCCATGGATGGATGTACAGCAGCTATACTGTGTGATGTACTGATTCATGTTATTCCATGCGTCATCATTGAATTCTCTATAACTCTTTCTCTCTCTGTGTTGTCCTCCCAGCCTATCTGAAGCGGCGGTATGGGCTGCTGAGTACCGGCTCAGATAGTGACTCTCCCAGCGCACGCTCTGAGTGTGTGAGCCCGGCCCTGGCCTCCATAGACCTGTGTCCCTACAGCCAGGTGAAGAAGCCCAGGGTGGTGCTGGGGGCTGAGGAGAAGGAGGCTCTGAGGAAGGCCTACCTCCTGGAGCCATACCCCTCCCAGCACACCATCGAGATGCTGGCCTCCCAGCTCAACCTCAAAACCAATACAGTCATTAACTGGTTCCACAACTACAGGTCAGACATGGCATCAGATCCCCACCCCCAGAGAGAATAATTACATTTGATCAATACAGTACATGGAATTACTAACGGAATACTTGGATGCTTGTTTTGGATGAATGAAATACATGACTCCTTCTAACTGTTCATTTGATTGTTGTGTTTTTCTAAGCAGGTCCAGGATGCGACGAGAGGTCCTCATGGAGGGTCTCCAGGACAACGACACGGACGCAGAACACCACAGCTACTCTCCCTCGGCCACACAGAGCCCCACCTCAGATGGGGATGAGAGGGGGCTGCTGCACCCCTCTGGACGCACCCACCCCATCCGTCCCCTCAGCGCCAACACACCACTGCCTCATGTCAAACAGGAGGACGAGGGAGAGGAGGAGGAGAGGGACGGCTACATCAGACAGTCTAAGATCCAGTGTTTCTCTATGGGCGTCCAGTTCCCTCAGTTGAAAACAGAGCATGAGGACCTGATAGGTGGCTGCCAAGAGCTCCACCTGGCTCCACACTATCCTCAGAGCCTGAGGCAGGAAGAAGGGATGAGTAGCCAGGCTCAGGGGCTCTTCCACGGGGCGCTCTCCCTAGATGGCCCCCAGAGAGCCAGTCAGTCCAGGCATGAGGGTGACAACTCCAGCAAGTCTCCTGTGGACCCGGTCAGTTTCAAGGCATCATCGGTGCCCTGCCGCAGAAGCCTGGAGGTCTCCCTCAACTCCCCCTCCGCTGCCTCCTCACCCGGCCTCATGATGTCTGTGTCCCCTGTCCCGTCTTCCTCTACACCCATCTCCCCATCCCTGCCCAACCCACCTACCACAAGCACCAACCACAGCCTGGACCCTAACCCCCTGCCTCCCATCCAGAGCCCCAAGCCCAACAGGAGTGTTCAGAGACGCACCGAGAAAATGGCCAACCTCAACAACATCATCCATAGGCTGGAGAGAGCAGCTAACCGGGAGGAGACCCTGGAGTGGGAATTTTAGGCCCCACCCTCCCTCCACATTTCCTCAGTCCTGCTGACTCACACCGCACATGGGAGACTATCAAAGAGAAGCTTCCGGAACACATGGAGTGGAGCCTGGCTCCTCAAGGCCTGTCCTCCCTGTCTGATCACACTAAATAAATACCCCTCTTAGGAAAACAGGGGGAACCAGAGCTTAACTCTTACAGACAAATTCCCTTAGAGGACTTTTAGAAAATAAAAAATATTTATAAATGTGTTTGAGGTTTTTTGATAATGGATACTACTTTGAAATATATGTAACAGCACTAGCTGTTGTTTTACTTAATGGACTCTGACGTAAAGACTTTTGCAGCTATGGTGTCATGAAATGTACACTGAAGTTCTGTAGATTGCCACTGGGTGAGATTAAAAAAGACCGCTGTCTTAAGCCATCAAAAGCACTATAATTATTTAAAAAGAGACGCTGACCAAATTTGCTACTTTTTGAATAGCAATTTTTCAGATTTTGTCTGTAAGACAGGACAGTTTAAGTCAAGTAATGTGAAATTCTACTACTGACTGAGAGATAGTCCTTTAAGACTCTAAATATTCAACATCTCGTATGTTCTTGGTTGTATGTTTTGAAACATTTGTAACACAAACGTATAAAGTGTGGTTGTACATGTTGTAGAATTGTCTGCAATAGCCTTCTGAACCAGATGTAGCATGGTACTTAACTGACCCTGTTATCCTCTATAGTTAGTCACCTGTGATATACTTGAGCAAAAATGAGTGGAAAAACAAAAAAAATCTGCAAAATATAAGAAAGGAACTGTAGAATCTATTTAGTGTATTTTTATTTTTTATCATTGAGGTTTACAGTTTTGGACCCTTGTGTACTAGGCAGTAAGTGAAACTCACTACACATGAGCACAGTTTACATTATTTATTTCAGACCTCTCTCGTCCTCTAAATCACTGGTTTCAGACTAACGGGCCAATGCACACCTGGTTACCTCAGTTTATGTTGATGCACATCATGTGATGATTGCGTGGTCATTCCCATCATTCACACTCATGACCTTCCAACCTTTGAATAAATGGATTAAGATATGTTTGAATTATGTCTCAGACAGCAATAGAACCTGATAATCTTCTAGTGAGGAGTCACAGGCAAACATGAGCATTCTTTAAAGACCACATTAAGAACCCCTGCTCTTGGATTACAAAGGACAAAATGCTTCATCCTCTACTCCCTTCCTCTCCATCCTCATTCTGTCCTCTCAGAGACTCATGTTGTTCCTCCTGCATTCATGTATATCTTGTTCTTCCACAGAGATAACACATTACTTATTAAGTTGAAATAAGAGAAATTGACTGTTAGATTGGGGCCCGAGAATGTAATGTTTACTGTAGCTCCGATTCAGGCCTTCTGTGTGTAACACCTAGCCTTTAGCTCAGTGGGCAAACACAGTCTTGAGTCATTCAAACAACTCTGATTTGATTACGTGGCGGAAACAAACTGTAGAAAGAAATAATGCACTATAGAGCACTGACAAGTCCCTCTGTTTGGCTCTATCTGACTGGAATAAGAATCTGAAAGCATGGAAATTAATCCTGATGGAAAGAACATGATACAGTACGACCAACATTTGACTACATTGAATTCTGTTAGAAAATACGTTCTATGACACAAAATGGAATTGATTGTCTCATTATCCTTGCCGTTGGCCACTACTGTATTGAATACATTCGTTTTGTCATGCTTGCAGTTCGTTATAATCCTTCTGTATTTTCATTCTGTTTTGTACTCTGAACAAATGTATTAGATCTTCAATACCTTGTATGAACTACTTACAGCACTTAGATTTAAATAATTGTGAGGATTCAAGAAAATTATCCTAACTTTTAGTGTCCACAAGTGAGTCTTTGCCTTTACTGTATCGTTGAAGTTGGTAGTAAACATTGTCTTACTAGTGCAGAGGATTTGGATTGTATATGTATAGATATATAAATATTACACATTTACTGAAAATGATATCTTACGCTATTGAACAAAATGTGCTGACTATATTGAAATATGGTGTACAGATTTATTAAAGGGATAGTTCACCCAAATTACAAAATGACATTGTTTCCTTACCCTGTAAGCAGTCTATGGACAAGGAATGACAGCAATCAATGCTTTGGTTTTATTTCCCTGGCACTGTTTCCACATGCTAACATTTTAGTATTTGTGGCACAAATCCCATTCAAGTCATGCTACCGATATTAACATTTTCGCACAACATGTTCAAATCATCTAAAAGCAGGCGTGCAAGAAAGGCAAGAAAATGAATTTCACTGTACTTGTGCACGTGACAATAAAACTTGAAACTATAAGTGACTTTGTTGAGCTTCACAATCAATTTGAGATATTTTCGGATGATTTGGACATGATGTACGAAAAATGCTAATATCGGTACCAGGACTTGGATGGGATTTGTGCCACATTTTGAAACTGTGTAGGGACACTAAACCAAAGCATAGATTGCTGTCAAATATTGTCTGTAGACTGTTTACACGGTAAGGAAATCAATATGTAATTGTGTTATTTGGGGGAACTATCCCTTTAACCAAACCCATATGAGCCAGTTCTTGTCTGGCAAGCTTGCCCATGTTTTAGACCTTCTCTCAGGGTAGTCTTGCTTCTTAAAGCTTTACTGAACCAGTCGCTCTCACCACTGGTCAACACACTAATTTATGACTATAATAACAGAAGTAACCAGTAGACAGAATGGTTCTGCCATATGTTATATGGGATTATGGGAGTTTTAACTATGGGAATGCACATGGAAATCTAGTGGTTTGTTTTTGAGAGAAATGGCAGGCTATTTTGTAATCCATTGGTACAATGACCATGTTCATAATTAGGTCACTTAATCTAGTGGTTTTTGTGAAGGGTTTTTGTGAAGCAAACAGGTAGAGGCAAAAGCATCACATTTATGACAGATTTGACTCTTCCATACTTGCTGAGCAGATACAGTATGTGCTTGACACTTCAGAATGACACTGTATATACCTCTAAGGATGAAATAGGGGAATCTGGATATCCTATATTAATCTATGACAAACTGTCCTTTATTTTTACAACTAATTTTCTATATCAGTGATACTGTGTATGGGAGTACTTAGAAGTAACATTTCTTTTATTAGATCTCATCGTCTTACACAGAAAAATTGAGAAATAAATGGCTGAAAATGGAATTGATTTACACGGACCCTTATGGACCTTTACATATTCACATAAACCTAATTTAATTGTTTGAATTTTGCATGCAATTTCATACTGGTCACTTAAGGGAATAGACTGTTTTGTATTATTGTTCTGGAACATTGACATTGAATCAGCACTTATCCCTTTTTACACTGGTGAAACCATGCATGTTGCAACTGGCAATTTTGGTGACAGACACAATGTGGAGGTGTAACCCTTTACCCATGATCCACTGGTTAAATGTTGTTGTAGAGAGTCTTGTGTGAAATTATATTCAACTGACTGAATTTACTCTTCGTAGTATTCACAAGACGGGTTGTGTGAATAAGATGGTGAATTGAATGAAAACAAGACTAAACAAAGTCCCTCTGAATATTTTCTACCCCAAACCCCCCCCCCCCCCCAAAAAAAGCAGATATTTAGAAATGACTTTTTATCCAATATCAATTAAGCCTCTTGATTTTTCTGGCTGTTTTTGATAGATTGTGATTTGATGGTCATTGACCTCCATCACTAAAAGGTGTAACATGGTTGAATACTTGCCCATGTTTTAGACCTTCTCTCAGAATGTGATTGTTTTACTGAATAACATACTATGAGATTTGTGTTTGATCATAAAGGGATTCCAAATGTTGTTTAACAAAATGAACTCTGGCGTCACCTCTCATGTCAAAAGAAATGTCATTAAAACCTGTTAATACAGATGAGGTGCTCAAAAGGCTAACATCTCATCTCATGTTTCAAGGCATTGGAAGCTGTTAAAGAATGGACAGAAATATACCAAGTGTCTTGGATTCACATATGTATGAAGCCATCATCCAATACATTATTGTATACGATCCTGTGTGTTGTGTTTTTTGTTACCACTGAAGGCTTCACAAATTGGTTTCAGTTTTTGGAACACACACACACACACACACAGGGAAAATATAATTAATATTTTAATGTAATTATTTCTGGCATCATTTATTGATGGATATATTAAAATCAATCAAATCAAAATGAGTGCTTCAGCTTGATCATTTCTCAATGCTAAATTGGTGTCAACATGCACAAAAGCATAGGAAAATAGGTTAAGGCTGGTTTTCTAAAATTCTCTCTGGTGGCCTAGTATAAGCTTAGGCCTACTAACAATGTATGTAAAGCTTAGTAGATGGTAGAATTGGAAAAGCCTCAATCGTATCCTTGGGACGTCCCAACTGACGTTACCCCATTGAAGTTTAAATGTTAAACCGTGAAGGTAAGAGTTAAGGTTAGGATAGGTGTAGAGGTAAGGGTTTAGGGTATGGGCGTCCCAGTGACCCCGGATAGCGTTTATCTTGCATTTATTTGTTTACATGTTCGCGTGATTCGTTTGCGTACCCCTCCCCCACATCCAAATAAACGTGGTTACGTTGCGTACCACGTCACGTAGACTATTGGGTTGGAGATTCACAGCGATGGCGACTCGACTCTTCTACGGGACGTATTGAAACTGGCCTCGGATATGACATATTTATTTCTTAACGTGTAATTTATTGCAAACCCAGTGCACGGATCTTCAACTGGATCATTCGCGTTTCTATTCTCATTGCTTTCTCCCTGGTGAGTCCGCAGGTTGTTTCCGTGCTTCGGTGTGTTTTGACAGAGGCCTCTGTTTTGGGGTCCGCCCTCCATCTCATAACAACAACAAAAACAGTTCCACACAGAGCTAGCAATGGCCAGCTTTGACTACGATGACTAGCTAACTGTAACTTTATGAGAAGAATAAGCACAACTACGTCGTACCCAAACAGCAATATTTATTTTGACCAGTCAAAGTCATAACGAGAAAATAGCATTCTCACAGCGTAACTAACATTAGCTGCTAACTAGCCAGGTATTGTTTCGATTGACTGGACTAGTAGTAGGCTAGCTCGACGCTACTAGTTAGTAAACTGGCGTAA